TATTGGAAAATTCTATTAATTCTTTGTGCCATTAGTATAGGAGAAATTCACTAGAAAATTCAATAGATTTTCATTTTTCTATGAAATTTTTTACTGTAAATTTTCCAAGTCTTTTCCGCTCAATTTCCACTTGTTCCACATAATAAAATCCAAGAAAAAAAAATTAGAAAATTCATGTCCAAGAATTTCCTAGAAAAATGGAAATCGAATGGAATCTCTCTCGAAATATGAAGCATATTCGTTTTTCATAATAAAATCCAACAAAAAAACTTGAAAAATTCAGGTTCAATAATTTCGAAGAAAAATGAAAATCCATTGACTTTTCCATTGGAGATCTTCTATAGAAATGGCGCAAACAACAAATAGAATTTAGACGGTGTGAAAATGTCTGTATTATATGGGGACGTTTGCATTCTACTGTGCGTACATTATGAGGACATAAAATATACAGGGACATCTAGAGTCTACGGTACGATGACTATGAGGACTTGATACTGTGGATATGAGTTGGCGCTTGTGACTCTCGTGACGTTCCACGTATGAAGAAATTCAATAGAAAAAAACAATAGAAATTTCATTAAATTACCAATAGAAATTTAATGGAATTTCTATTGGAATTCCAAGCGAATTTTATTGGACGACTACTGTCATCCTATTGGAAAATTCTATTAGTTCTTTGCGCCATTAGTATAGGAGAAATTCACTAGAAAAGTCAATAGATTTTCATTTTTCTATGAAATTTTTTACTTTAAATTTTCCAAGTCTTTTCCGCTGTATTGCCACTTGTTCCACATAATAAAATCCAAGAAAAAAAAATTACAAAATTCAGGTTCAATAATTTCGAAGAAAAATGAAAATCCATTGACTTTTCCATTGGAGATCTTCTATAGAAATGGCGCAAACAACAAATAGAATTTAGACGGTGAGAAAACCTCTGTATTATATGGGGACATTTGCATTCTACTGTGCGTACATTATGAGGACATATAGAGTATACAGGGACATCTAGAGTCTACGATACGATGACTATGAGGACTTGATACTGTGGGTATGAGTTGCCCCTTGTGACTCTCGTGACGTTCCACGTATGAAGAATTCCAATAGACATTTCATTAAATCACTATCTTCGAATTTGAGTCCCCAAAATCATCACGGTCTTCGAAAACACCAATTTATGAATGTTCCCAAAAGATACTTTATGCCAATTTTTTTTGCTATATATGTCCCCATAGTAGTCGTCACTCAAACAAATTGCTATGTCCTCATATGTGCCATTATATATACTGTCTCATATGATCCAATTGTTAAACAAAATTGTAATAAGTCCTCGAAAAATGTATAGTTAACGGGGATTTTTGGTTTGTTTAACATATAATGGAGTTTTGGATCATTTGAGAGGTGTTTGGACTTCTTTTTTTTACTGTCCCCATAGTCACCGTTATATATATGCACAGCGTACATATACGCCTCCATATACACTACATGTGGCTATCCTACTCGCCTTTTCTCTGAGAGGCCACTGCGTCAAATCGGAGGCGACTAGGTACCTCTGGGTTTAACCCAACTTTTTGAAATGGGCGATTCCACAATTCTGGAGTTTAGGACGCCACGCACACCACACACATTTCGCGATGTTAAAACTCAGAGGGATTTAACCCGGAAGGAGGGATAATCCCGAAGGGATAAATCCCTCAGAGGGATTTAATCCCCGAAGGAGGATGTTTTTCGAGCGGGGGACCGAAAAATTTTCAAAAATCGGAGGCGACTACGTCTGTTTGATGTAGCGGAGGCCAGTTGTAATTGCGTGCAAAATGTATATATATATATA